AGGAGGCAACTGGCTTTACAGTCATTCGAATTACTGCAAAAAGGGGAAAAAAAAACCCCAAACCCACCCATTAGAGCACCTTTAGCTATATAGAGCAGGGAAAAGAGACCCAGACAAGAAAAGGAGCTGGGACTCACCTTCTGCAGCACTAACCAAGGAGCCTCCAGCAGGGAAATCTTCACCCTGTATTTGGGAGATATTCCAAGGTGCAGGGAGAGTCAGTGGAAGCAACTTGAGGCTCTAACATGTCGTCCTCCAGCCCCCTGTAGGGTTGTGCCCACTGTTTTAGGGGACGCACCAGCAGAAGTTTCACTAATTCAACCCAAATTGCTTTTAAACTCAGGCACTAAATGCATAATTTAGTTTAAAACTGCTTCTGATTAGCCTCAGCTAAATTCCTCCAACCAAAATAAGGGCAATCTTGCAAAACGGGCCTGCACCCGCTTACGAGCAGTTTTATTAAAACTGCTGCAGCTTGTGCAAGATGAAGGAGAACTACTGATGAAGAACTAATGTGAAGAGCTAGGAAAGAGGGAGAGAGAAAAACTCCCTCCAGAATATCCTCAGGAAATAGAGGTTGTGGAGAACTGGCCAAAGCACAGATGTCTGTAGCATGTGACAAGGTTTTTCCATCATCTGCTGCTTGCCCAAAATGAACACAAGCACCAGAGAAAGCAACGTGAGAAGGAAAGCAGTGAGCACCCCGAGGAGCAAGGGCTGGAGAGCTCTTGATAACCTCTTGATAACCGTGAATCTGGAAGCCAGTGGGAGAGGCCACGAATGGCAAGCCCTGAAATAGGCTGTGCAAACCTGCCCCGTCGATCTGCACCCTGGAAACAGCCACAGCACAATCACAGGAACTGCTGGAGCAGGAGTCAACGTTATCACAGGCCTTCCAAAGAGGAGAGTACCACGAGAGAGCACGGGAGACCGTGGGGAGCAGCCACCCAGCCTTCCATGGAGGCTCAGGCATCCCTAGCGCGACCAGGAGGCAACAGCTTCACCCCAAGCAATACTGGGGTTTTAGTCTTCCAAATAGCCCTGTTCTTTACCATAAAAAACAGAATTTGCTCCTCCATTTCTTCTCACCAAGCTAAAGATCCTGCTCCAGGCAAGGAGCAGCTCATGCACCGCTCTCCATCCGCTCTTTGGCTCTCCAGGCTTAGGGGGAACCTCTCTGCTGGCCTCGCAACAGGAGCACGAGCCTGTTGCTCCCCGTCTTTTCACTGCCACCAGCAATTATCACTGAATGGCTTTATTGTGTGACAGGTGGTGACAAGAAGGGACTTCCAGCAGCTTCTGTGCGACAGGTTTTGCAACATCTGCTTGCTGTGAACAGCCCCAGTGCCCAAAGAGGAGCTGGACTTCTGCAAAGCAGCAAAGCACGGGATGAAGCACCTCTTGTTAACCCAAGCCCATCGCTGGCCATAGCCCACAGCTCCCCACGGGCAGGACTGCAGAGCTGAGCTGAGCGTGCCCTGGGCACAGGGTAATTCCCTCTAGCCCCCCATTTTCTGTGTCTTATTGCAGAGACCTCGGCCAGGAGGGGAAACCCACGGTTCCATCACGGGGCTCGTGTCAAACTGTCTGTTCCAGCTCCACGAGGCTGTGACAGACAGTGACAAAGGTTTGATCCTCGCCTTCCGATTGCTGATCCGAGCAGCCACTGGGAAATACGCACTACTGCTTAAGACAGCTTTAAAAGGGTATTAGAGTGCTTTGGATTATAGCAATAGAGCAACCTTAAACTCAAAGGCAAGGTCTGTGCTGGTGTAAATTCTAGAGACTCCTAAGGACTTTATATCACTGAGACTTTGGCTCCTCTATCTTCCCACTAGTATGATTTCCTCAGATTATCTCAAGAAACACTATTAAGCTGCAAAGAACTGAACGTTGGAGATCTCCTTTCTTTCATATAATCTGCAGCATTAGCCTCATACTGCAGCAATTTGAGAGGTATTTGTAGAAAAGCAGCAGGGCTCAAAGGGGAAATGGAAGAGTTTAGATGAGGGGTTGGAAGATGCTATTTTAAGAGGTTGAATGTCGGCACGACCTCCACGGGCCAGAGAAGGCTACTGGCAGCTGCAAGGCAGAAGGAAGCAGCAACTGGTGATTTTTTAAGATAAAAGATTTTGTGAGAGATCCTGCTAGAGCAAATCCTGGACTGTGGACCAAAACCACCTTCCAGTTCAGTTCTTAACGTTGGTGCAATGACAGACCTCGTCCTGCACGGAAGGGAAGGTGAAGACAAGGTTCCCATTTATCCATCTCTGCTCCTCAGCAGCCAGCTTTACCAACCACACCTGGGCGCTTCCTCCTCCTGCAGCGCGAAGGCTTTAAACCCACAAATGAAGAGACTTCAACCCCCCAGAAATTGTAATTCTGAAGTGCTCAACAGCCTTTAATTCATTATGAACCTAGAGGCAAAGAAAAAAAATAGGCAAAAAATACATCACATCCTTAGTCTAGGGAAAAAAAAATCAATATTTTTATAGCACATAATCAGACAATAACGAATATATTTCACTGGAGGAAAGGGAGGGTAAGAATGTGCAATTCCTATTTCCTTTGCAATAGTCGGATGCAGAGGCCATCAACATGGTTGTTATAGATAACCTGCACAAGCCATTCCTAAACCAAAGAGGAGTTAAAAATAAACCAAAAAATAAAATAAAATAAAAAGAAGGAAAACCCCAGCAACAAGGAAGGGCATTCTACAGTTCCAGATTCACTTTTAAACATAACTCATCATCTGAATATGGGGTGAGGAAACACACTTTGTTTTTACAATATAAATAGTATTTTTAAAGGTACTACATATGAATACAGTAACGGTGCTATTTCAGTCAGGACTTGAACATGCAGAGGAAATCCCCATTGCTCCCGGCCACCCATCCCGTCCCTCCCTGCCCCTAGCCCTCCCCCCAAATCCTCTGCAGTTTAAATTCTCTTTTAATCGTTTTAAATATTTCTCTGTGGCCTGGCAACTGATAAAACACCCGTTCTCTTCCTTTTTTACAACAAGGTTTTTGCTAAATCACGTCTCAAGTGACAGGAGACAGCTCGGGAGGAGCGACTGCTTCAGAGCTACAGCAGCAAATGAAAGGAAGGGGCTTGTCCAGGTACCACCTCTCCTCCCCGAAGGACGCACCACTGAGGCTTGAAAGATCCTTGCCAATTTCCAGAAACCTTTATTAGTCTCACGGTTTGCTTTGCGTCTGTGGAGACACCTACTGAAAACGCCAGAACTCAGAAATAAGAGGAAAATCCTGTTTTGAACTTGGAATCGCGCCCAGAGCCGCACACGCCGAGCAACCCGGAGCAGAGGCGGGGAAGGAGGAAAGGGGACCCCGGTGCTCTCCAGGGAGAGCAAACCCCCAAACTTGCTTTATTCTGTTTCCCCTCTTCCACTCAGTCGGTTTAACAGCCACCGAGGCCCGTAAGATGTTCAACTACCATCTGCCAGCCCACAAATCCTTCCTACTTATTCCCTTAATGATCCAACTAGAGCGTTGCTTAAAAACCTCGCCACCGAGCAACCACCACCTTCCAAGGGGCTTAAGAAAAAAAAAAAAGAATAAGAATAAAAAAATATAGTTTTTTGAGGTGCAGTAAGTTCAGGGACGAAGCAGAAAGCTCCTTGTGCAGCTCTGCTACCTCCTGGTGGGTTCTTGCAGGCCAAGATGCTTGGATGTTGCCTACTCCCCCTTCACGACTCTGTGCTAGGGCTGCCCGTTTTCTTTCCCTCGGGATAAAACTCCTCCAAAGCAAGTGGAAGACTTTCCAGTGACTTCAGTAGGGATTGAGGCTCCTCTACAAAGCACTGCTCCACAGCAGCTCTTCAGACAGGCGGATCTCCACGTGTCCGAGCGGGAGCTGCCCACCCTGTACGTCGGCATTTTCTGTTTGCCGTTAAAACTCGCTCGGTCCTCAGCAAACGGAGCCCAGCCAAACGAAAGGCTCGTGCTCCTCTTCCCCACAAGCATCTCCAAAGGTTCCGCCACGGCTCAAGTAAAGGAGGTCACAACAAAGACGTCTGGGGAATTTCTTCTTTAATAGGATAAAAGGGAAAAAATAATAAAAGGTACAAACACCTCCCAGGCTTCTGTCATGGAATGATTCTCCCATCTGTAAGGAGCACAACTCCAAAAAAAAAAAAAAAAAAACAGAGAAAATGAAAGGTTCCTATGCGAGACGTGCCTACCAGAGCACTAGAGCAGTCCCTTTAGCTCCAGCCTGCAGCGAGGTCGGGGATGGGCTCGGAGGGGAGCTCAGAGAAGCAGCAGCAACGGAACGCTTGCCGAGCCCGAGGGCAGAGTTTAACTGAAAGCCATGCTCGTCTGGAACTAGAAAGCAAAGTGATGGCCACGAGGGGCAAGGAAGACGACGAGGAGGACCAAAACGCGGCCGTTCCGGCCCAAAGTCCCTTCCTGGCGACATGGCAGAAACGCGCGCAGCTACCGCGTGTCTTTGAACAGAACTAACTGTAAGAAACATCCCGGCGAGGAAAGATTTCTTTCCCCACCTTCCCCAGGTTACAAAGAAGATAGTGTTTCTTTACAAAAAAAGAACCCCGGGCTTCCCAGGACACCTGCTCTTGCTCTCCCCGCTGCAGTATTAGTCACATTTCATACTGGGGATGGCAGGGAGGATTTTATTCGTTTACTGGTTTAAAGCCATAATCTAGAAAAATGTTTGTGGAAACTTCCATTTTCCTATTTTGTGTTTGCATTTTTTTTTTTTTAATAATGCTCATTTATAGAAAACTTCACAAAGGTGACTTATATGTACAGAAATCACAATTCCAAAGGCTGCTTCAGTAGTCAATGAAATAGCACCTTTAAAGACAAAAGAGTTTGACATGGTTTAAAAAGTCCTTTTTTTTGTCACAGTTTAACACTTTCCAAGCCTTATAAAAAGGAGCCAGTCACGGAGCTCCGTTAGTACAAACTTTTCCCAAGTCTCCATGTGAAACGGGGTCTGAGGGCTCCCGGGCTTCCTAATCTATTGGTCAGCAACGCGTCCGGCGGAGTCGAGGTAGCGCGTAGCCAGACGGGATTTTCTTGCAGCCCAAACCAAGAGCAGATGAAAGGAATTCACAGCAGGCTATTGCACCAGGCTGCCCTTTTATTCCACAGTTCCCTGGTTATTTTTCTGCAGGGTTGAAAGGGTTAATGTCGGGTTGAACGACTCCTGGTTAAAACATGTTGCTCTGAGTCCCAGGCTGGTACTGTGTCTGCAACAGGCTCTCCATAAAGGCCAAGTAATCTGGGTTTTGTCCATAATCTTCAGGATTCCTGGAATTCCCCACCCGAGGGCGCTTGGCTGCTTTCACTTCATCTCCCGAAAATACATCTTCCTGAGGGGCCCCGGTGCTCAGGGACTGCAGGAGACACGAAAGCAAAATCATTAGAGGCACAGCAGGAAGGCAGGGACGTGCACAAACTCCTGAGCGCGCCGGCTTAATAAGGCAGCAAACCATTGGGCACAGGGCACTCTGCAGCGAAAAACGGGAGCTCCGAGACATGCAAAGCACAAGGCTGAAAGAAAAACCTCTTTCTGGACTTCTGAAACCCTCCTGGAAAGAGAAACCCTCAAGCTGGCTGCCTTCTGTATCAGAACATCCTTCACTTCAATTCCTGCCTTGCCAATTCACTGTTTATTCCCATCCTCCTCCGGCTCTCCAGGTTATTCTTTCCTAGCAGAAGGTACATGGAAAATTGGGGCTTCCCAGACGTCACTAAAAGAAACCCAAGGAAAGCGTGTGGGGTCAAGCTCACTGTGCAAACGATTGCTGCTGCTCATCCTGCTCTTACACTGCCAGGAGAGGTGCATTTCTTGGTAGGGATTGTGTCCTACCACTTTGTTCTTTTGTTCAGCTGTTCTGCACTAAGGCGCCGGGAACGTCTCCTCCATGGAGTCTAGCACTTCTGGCAGCAGAAGGTACATGAGAAGAATTTTAGCTTTCAACCAGGCTTGAAACTTTTTATTCACTTTCCATTATGCATTCCTCTTTCTCTGGAAGAGTTATAAAGCCTGACAGTCTCCACTGCAGTGAGAATATTTCTTTCAAATTTCTGCAGTTCAGGGCTCCAAAACATTGCCTTCATTATGGAGCAAGTTTAAATAAACTGGAACTATTGTGTATGTCAGCTATCTGCTGGAACTATCATGTACCTAGGAGTCAGAACAGGGTGCTTCTTTGCATTACTAACCCATAAAATTTATGCCATAAGGCATAATTGAGGCTTACTTGAGACAAAGGGGAAAAAAAAAAAGACAGAGAAACCATCCAGAGCCACATTATGAAGTCTGTAAGTATTCTACAAATGTTTTCTGGGTAAAAGCTTTAAGGTTTCATGAATAAACCAAACCAATTGCCTACAGACTGACATCAGTGGTTTCACACAGCAGCCTGTTGCTAGGCTGCTTCTGAGCAGGAGCATCTCGTGGCCAGGGAAAGACAGGGCTCAGCGTGGAAACTGGGAATAACGAAAGGTTGAGACCTGGACCTGACCTCTGAAGAGGGACAAAACCCCACAGCCTTACTAGAAATTCATTTTGTGGATCCATCCCTGTCATGCGGTAGCCAACATTACAGGTACTCAGGATGAATGGAGAGGAAAACTCTGTATTCTGGCATGGAATCCAAATTCCTGATTTGTTTAAATGAAATGGCTTTAAAAGGTCAAAGCACCAGGTCTGAAAACAGCCAGCAAATATGGAACTAAAAAGGTTAGGAAATAAGTCCTTTGTATTTTCCAGGCTGAATAATTCAGTTTTATGCACTTAAAAACAGGGCGATCTTTTAGATGAGCTTTGTAGATAAGAGCTGTGTTGTAAATCTCCTATTTGATAAGAAACAGAGGCCTGGTCCCATGTTACTGATCAGTTGTCTGGAAACCACTTAGCTGTAGGCCAATTCACCTGAGTGATGATAAGCAGTATTCACACAGAGCAGCAGTCTGTGGCACTAAATTTGTGTAAAACAGGATGCAAAGTGATATGAACATATTCTCTTAACCAAAGAATGCAGAAATCAGGCCTGAACTTGTGAAAGGGAGAATATTTGTTTCAATATTTCAAGTATTACATCAAGGATTTCTTTAACTCCATGAATTTTGAGAACAGCTGGAGATTTCACAACCACAGAAAGCAGAGACTGCTTTTTACCTAATATCTAAACAATTTGCTGCAAAAATGGGAATAAGCACTGCAAGGCACAGCCATTTCTTTCTGTTATTGATACTCACCAGACGAGACTTCACTCTCTTAGGAAGCTCTTCCTCCAAGGTATAAATATCACCACGTTTTACCATTAGTTGGGAACCATCTTCAAACTCCACCTGCAGGTATGTAAGAGGATGGTATCAGTAGTGTGGGGTTTTTTTTAATCTTAAACAAAGTATTTTTACACATCATAAGGAACAATACCAGCTACTAAAATATATTTGTATTTTAACAAGCAGTAACAATCAGCTAGGTACAAAAAAATGCTGGTAACTCCTCGCGTCAAACTTTTTCCCCTAAGCACTGATTATATCATGAATTATGGATCAGATGCTACAGGAATGTTTATTCATGAAAGTGTGCATACAGAAATGTTAAAACCATTAAAAGTTTTTAAGAGAATCTCATTTCCTTTGCTCAAGACCTATTATGCTTTCCGGGATAATTCAGAAAAACACTCAACACGGTTCAAGATGGGATTTCAGGTTTAGATTGGATGAATTTAGCCAAAGGAACATGAACCTCTTCTGCCATTCCCGCCTATGGGCACTGTGCTTCGGGAGAGGGGTGGATTTGGCAGCTGAGGGATGTAACATCTTAAACTATCACAAAAAGCCTGGCTGGATCTTGCTTAATAAAGTTCCAAATTATTGAGAGTTAGAGGTTAAGACCCTGTTACAACTCACGTTCCAGGAAGGTAATTCGGGCAGTTATTCAGGCTCAATTTTAAAAAAAATATATACATGTATATATATATATATATACACATGCACATCCAATCTCAGCACACAAAATAGAGGCTTAGAGCCTCGACCTGGGAAGCTACAGCAAAATAAGCCAGGGCAAATTTAAAATGCAAAAGCCAATCCATGCTAGCTTCCTGTGAAGGCGCTTATTTATACCAGAACTGCCTCTGTGTTGTTAAATATAATCCTATTTCAAAATGGACAAAGAGATGCATCGTAATACTGGAAAAAAGTGGTGACATAGGAAACCAGTGTGGAAAGCTATTCAGGCCACTTTCCCCGTGGAAAAGAGATTTACTTATAGGTAACTGCTTGATTTGAAAAACACAGACTCGTAGTCTTCGTGCATATTTTTCTGTCATCTGGTGCTATCAGCAGAACTGCCTATTTCAAATTATTTTGCTTTGGAGAAATCAATGACGATTTCCTATACTGTGATTAAACTGGAAAGCATGCATAAAAATAGATCTTTATGGAGCTATATATTGTACTTATTTATAACCAGGGTCACCTCCAATGCCATCTTCTGTGGAGCAGTTAACATCCATTACACACGCCAAAAGGACTGTTAACTGACAGTATGGATTATTGTGCTCTTTTGCACACAGATATCAAAAATTCTATATAGAAAGAACGGAAACAAGTCCCCTCTTTTCCAACGAGCACAAGGTTTGGGATTTCCTCTGCCTTTTACAATTGTCCAGAGACAACCTCTTTAACATAACAGTGCTTTGTAAATGCTGTTCCAGCATGTGTTTTTTAAAGGACTATGCACCAAGTCCACTTTCCAAAACCCCATAATTTCCAACTTCTTGGAACCGTTTAATAGAGATTTAATCAAATGAATGTATTGCATCTCACAAAACCTTCTGTGCTGAAATGCTGACACTGTGCACCAGATTAAATCTTCCTTTGCTGATTATTATGACCTTCCACAACCTAAATCCTTTCTGCAGAACAGACTCCAAGACACACACACACAAAGAGAACAGGCTGCTACTTTTTTCTCCTTAAAGCGGGGACGGGGAGAGTATTTTGAGACTAGACACTGAAGGCTTCTAATTCCTCACGCAGCAGCAGCAGGATGTTATTCCCACATGCTGCTGCTCTTCTGCCAAGTACCTTCCCAAAACCAGGAGATAATTTCCCCCCTGAAATAGTCTCCTGACCCAGCTCTTCCCTTACTTTCTGTCAAATTGTCAAGGAAAGTTTTAATTATGTAGATCCCGACTCACTGGGAACCGCAGGTCGTGAGCTCATTTAGCACAAGCCATGGACTGGCCATCGGAGAGAATTTGATTTGGTCACTTTTGACCCAGGTGAGGCCAGAGCTGTTTTTCAGTCTTCCACCTACAAAGCAGACCCACCAGCCCTAGCAACTGCTCCCACAATGGAGGCAAATGGCCTCAACACATCCTCTGTTAGAGGATATTCCTGCTTGGAAGCTTCTCGAAGTTGGCAAATACTCGGTGAGGAAACATTTGCAACAGGGAAAGGGAAAGGTTTGATTTTTAACCAAGTAAAATGTCTGCATGGTTTCTTTGTCTTAGTGAAGTTGTTTACTTCTAAGGGGAAAGGTACTTAATGTTGAATAACTCTCCATTAGCTTTAAGAGATCCTGTTGGTTTACTAACCTTTGTTTCTTCTCTCCAGCTGGAAAACGCACAACCATAAACAAAAAAAGGGCATGTTTTCCACCATAAGGGAAACTGCAAATCTATTTTTTATTTTAAAAGCAGACACAGTGCAGACATATGGTGAATCTATCCATACATCCACATTCTGCCATAGAAAACCTCCAGCCTGGATCTTATTTTAACACTGTGTTTCTCTTCAGACTAGCAGCAGTATCGATTTCAGAAGGCAAATTCTCCCTTACAGAGAAAGCCTTTAGCATTAGTGAGCTACAGCACTTGTGTAACCATCAGACACATTGACATGAGCTACATGGAAAACCTTCTAGACCCACCTGATAAATCTGGCTGATCTGGGCTGCAATGAACTTGGCCTTATAGATGATTCCGTCCGTCCACTGCAGCTGAACCAACTCCCCCTCTGGAGGGGGTCCCATTTGGAGGCAATCCCTGCTCTGGAGAGAGAGGGAAGGAGGTCAGACAACCAAATGACTAAAGCTCAAGGAGGAGTTCAAGAGGGCTGTTCCAATCACCACGTAAGGAGCTTCCTACGTGACACTACAATTGATTAGAAGAAGGTTTCGTGCTTGTGATTACTTGAGAGAGGGAAGGAGGTCAGACAACCAACATGACTAAAGCTCAAGGAGGACTTCAAGAAGGCTGTTCCAATCACCACGCAAGGAGCTTCCTACGTGACACTACAACTGATTAGAAGTTTTTGCGCTTGTGATTACTCGCAGTCATCTCAAAACCAACCCATTAACTGCAGAGAGAAAAGAAAGAAATTCTTGCACCTACTTCTGGTGATAGGACTCAATTTTGGAAAATTTATTTCAAATCCCAAACCACTGAATCTCCTACAGCAAGAGAAACAAGGCAGGGAACTGCTCTGTTTCACTGGGTGAATCAATGGCACAGCTGGGCACAGAGAATACGTGAGTCTTGACAAGTTCAGCTTTTCTATACGTTCTGTTAAGTGCATTTCCAATCTGGAACCAGAAGTGCTCACAGGCAATCTGCTTTCCCCACGATTCAGACTTGTCAGTGGGAAAATAAGAGATTATTCAACTAAATCCCCCAAAAAACAAATAGGATGCAACTGAAGACAAATACTGCTTTCTGTTAAGTCAGCTGCACATAGTATGGTACATCTTTATAAAGAACAGAAGTCCAAAAGGAGATCAAGTCATAAATAAGGAGGACAGTAAGGAAAAACAGTGTGTTTTTTTGCTATGCAAGCAGCAACTCTGTTTTTTTTAAGATGTTTTTTCTTTTAAAGTTTTACTTTGCTGTTCTGCACTACCGCATAAATGTACCTTTTGTGCTTTATACTCATCTATAACTGCAATAGTCTCCACAGAGAGCTGCTTACTGTAATGCTTTCTGGGTAAACGTTGTCGCTGTAGGAACCATCGTCAAAGTTCACTTCATAGAAAGTCTGCGTTGTCATGCCAATCACTCTACACCTGTAGTAGAGCCCGTTCCGGTTCTTCGTGATCACAGTCTGTCCAAGGGTTACCTCCCTCCGAAACGGGACCTGCGGCAGAGAGGAGAGGGAATGATTGGCATCAAGCAAACACCCACACACAGTGAAAATACAGGCACACCGAATCCACCCCACAAAAAAGCCTTACACTGTGGTTAGCTGCTTTGTGCTTGAAGCAAGTGATGGAGACGACGTAGGGCCAGTCGTCGGGCTCGATGGGCACGCCGGCCGCGTGCGCGCACGTCACGTGGAAGGAGGTGGAGCAGTGCTCGTAGGAGCACTGGATGCAGGCGCCGGACACCTTCTTCATCCGCTTCCGGCAGTACACACATTTCTGGGAAAAACAAAGAGGAAGCTGAACGCAGCGGGTCAGCACCAGGCAACGGCAGCTTCAGCACAACATCCTGACGCCCAACGCGGCACGCAGGGCCACCTCGCCCGTGTTTAAGGTCCAGAACCACTGCCAGGAGAGGATGGATGTAAGGATATAGGATATAAGGTAAAGCCAGATGTTTCTGGACATGTGTCCCATACATCTGCCTAGGATCACTCCTAAGCCAAGCAACTCCAGCAGATGCCAGCTCATCATTCCCGTGGACATGACAATATTCTAGACTCCTAACCGTGCACTGGGAATCCAGGCCTCCGGACTCACGTGGCACACTGACACAGGCTTACACCCAACTTCAGGCCATGACAGCTGAACAGACATTGATCTGTTTGATCACTATTATGATAGAACTGCTGTAACTTAATACACATCCTCAGATTAATCAAACGCTTCCCTCGATTCAAACAGTAACTGGATCTTTGCATTGCTAGAAACTATTTGCACTTGTGAACAGGAAAGCAACCAAGACGCAGGACAGATTTTAAAACAGGTCTAAAACATTTTTTAAACCCCATACAAGTGGTGGATAAAAAAAAAAAGAATAAAAGCCTTACGGTCCTGGAGACTGAGACTTGGTGTCAGTGGGAAATGAGACATACTCCCTTCTGCCCTAAGTGCACCAATTCCTTGTCTCCAGCACCTCTGGAATGCAGATTTTGAGAATCCCAGTCTTGGAAGAGACTTAGGTTGGGTACTTTACTTGCACAGTACCCCAGGGAACTATCAGAAAGCACCTTTTTTAGTTTTGAACATCTTTTCAGGCTAGTGGAACTGTCACTGATGGACGGCAGGGCCTTGCCTTACCTGAGGCTTAGACGTGGCAAATCAGGGGAAAACGAGTGTCGCGCCCGAGACAAGAACACGCCGTTCCTGCTCAGAACGGATAGCCCTGCTCAGCACCACTCACATAAAGAAAACCCTGGGAGACGTTACATGCCCATGAATCTGACCCTTCAGCGATGGGATTTAATGATTACAGAGCAAACCTCCACGTGTAAGGAGGGCAGCAGGGGAGGGCAGTGATTTCCGTGCGCACTTCCAGGTTACGGGCTCCGCAGCACGCTCCATTGGGCTGCTCCAGCTACTCCTCCCGAGCTCCAGCGCCTTCCCAATCCACCCGCTCATCTAAATATAACTGCCCTATAAACATACTATGATCCTATGAGTGACAGGTTCATTTTCTCTCTCTCTCTGTGTCTGGTACCAGGGTCCTCCTCCTGCTCCTCCAGGCTCCCCTGCCCTTCTTGTTTACCTCATTCCCATTAAAGCAGTGCTCGAAGTAGGTAACGCTGCAAAACTCGTGACCTAAATTGCAAGATCAGTGAGAATTCCTCCATCCCCGGGGATCAGCGATGTAATGCAAGCTGCCCAAGATCACAGAGCAAGCCTAGGCAACTCCCAGAAGCCCAAATTCATTCTGCTTCTAGATCTGAGCTAGCTTAAAAGTGCATCCTCTAAAGCATTAAGACCAGTAGTATATTAGAAACTATCCAATAAGTGCTAAATAAGCATTGCCAAATTTCAATATTATGTTTTATTTGTGTTATCAGAATACACAGGGACCTAGCAAAGAGCCAGGGCCCTATGTGCTAGGTCCAGCTCTCTGCCAAGGCAAATAAAAGACTGTTCCTGTCCCCAAGATTATTTTGCTTTTCCTCCAGAGCAAAAGAAGCCAAAGAAAGGCAGATGCCTCCTTCTACCCACTCCTCAGTTGGGGTCTAGCCCACATGTATGTGAAAATAAGTCAAATTCACTTCTTGTGGATTAACCAAAGCCAATGTTTACACCAAAGATTAATTTGGCCATTTTACTCAAACTAACAAAAGCCAGGAAATTCAAAGTCAGGCCCTCGTGTTGCCAGAATGCCGTTTTTCCTGTTTAATAAGCTGTGCCGTTATCGCTCTGTAAACCCTGTTCAAAGCTAGATAAGCACCGCAGCAAAGTGCACAGCGGGAACACGGCACTGAAAGCAAGTCAATAGCAACGAGATCTCATTATTAAACTGCCAATACCCAATTCTCTCGCCAGCAGGGACAAGTGCTGATATACCCGGGGCTCAATACGGCCTCTCGAGGGAGCGTTAACCCTCGAGTCGCAGGAATCTCCTTTTATCGACGCAAACGGGATCCTTCCAAGTCTGAAGGATTATTCTGTGTCTAACGACACCCCAGCGGCAGCCAAACCGCTCCCGGCAGCCAAAGGAGCGGCACAAAGGGAATATTCGGAGCAAACCTGGACAGAGGATGAAGGAAAACAGCAAGGATGAACCGCGGGAGATGGCTGGGAGGGGGAAGAAGCCAAAGAGCTGGAAGTGCGGGACAGGGAACAGGAATGTCAGCACCAAGCGTTGGAGCAAAGGAGCATGCACATGCAGGCAAAAGGTATTTTCTGAGGGAATGGAGGTAGCAGAAAGAGAGGCCTAAAGCACAGGAGGGAAGCCTTGCACAGAAAATGCACAGCAGAGAACCAGCTCGCTGCCAGGAGGAAGGAACAGGCTGTCTCCCGCATGATGAACACTACAATTCATTTACTCCACTCCGGAATGACAGCTAATTATTCCAAATTTCCACGTCATAAATAATTTACCCACAGAGGCCCATAATGCACCATTAATCAGGAAGCACGCAGGCTGCATGGCTAAAAACGACGCAGCGCACGCAAACGAGCTGCAAGTCTGCGCTCCGCGGGGGAGGCAGAGCCAGGGCGGCCCTTAAAACAACGCCAATATTAACATCATTGTAACCAAAAGAAACAGACAGCCCAAAACCTCTCCCCTTCTTTATCTAAGTCTAAATATGATGGTTAAAACCTGACCATGCTCTTGAACATGAGGCTAATGGCTACACTCTTCTTCCTAACTGCTGCGCTAGTTCTATGGGGATACAGACATTTTCCAAAGGGATCACAACGATGGAACCCGAGACCTGTTCCCAAGTCCAAGACATCCTGACCCACCCGGCCGTGTAACTTGAGGCACTTTGTATCAAAATTCGCTACTTTTCATGAGATACGAGAACAACTTGGGTGCAAATGAAATGCAGCACTGAAGACATCACCAAAGCTATCAAGCTTTAGCTAGGAATGAGAGCAAGCCCCGTAGCAGCTCTGGGGAGAGCCTCTGGCTGCAATGGCCAATGCTTCAGAACAAAATGCAGCAACAGCTTCACAAATTAACAGTCTGGTCCTGTGGGATCGTAAGGCAGCCACAGAAGAGTTAAAAATTAAGCCATTGTGTTTCCTTGTGAGGCTCCATTAAGCAATACAAGTGAGTCTTGTGTAAAAGGATTTTAGCTCATCGTTGCAAGCGCTGGTAATGAAGAGGATGCATGTTGGAATGTCAGACCATCCATAAAGAGCCGGTGCCGCAGGATTTATCACCCTCACATCACGCCGCTCCGTCACTCCACCTGAATAATGAATGCTTTTTACATTCACATTTGTGTACAAAACCCATTTGCACAACAGAGAAATAACTCTGGAAGCAGCCAGAGATTCTTCCTAATCTCTCACGCAGGCCCAGGCCGGCCGGCACTAAATAGCTGCACAGTTAACACATACATCAATGCATCACTGCTAACATCACCTTCCCCCATACCCACTCCCGAGCGACAGCCCGAGTGACTTCTGCACGCAAAAAGCCACAAAAGCACAATTTATTTTGCAATAACACACTACAGTGATGGAGCATTAACTAACATGAAGATTAATTGGTCTGCGCTAATGAATCATCCATTACTAATACTTCAGATGAGGCTGTTTGCAGCTAAACAACAAGTTGTAACTGGACTTTTAAGATCTTTGCAGAGTCTCACCTTATAATCAGGGCACAAGGAAGTGTTTATTCATTCCTAAAAGAGGTTTCTTGGACAAAAGAAACGTTTTAAGGAAAGATGAATCCAATTACAAGGTAGCAAGTTAGCTCTTATCAGGTCTTTCTAGTTCCCAGCTCCCTCCATGCTGCTGCTGTGCAGGAAAGGAAACTCTCCTTTGGGTAAAGAGGTTTCAGGTGCTCAGCCCTGACCGAGCAGGGCAGGCTCTGCACAGCACCAGGGCTCGCTGCTGGAGAGCACAGGCGGAGCAGGGAAGCACAACGTGCGTGTCTGGAAGGCCCTGAGATGGCACCTTGGAACACATCCGAACGGGACTGCTCCCCGCTGCGTTTGTGGGAAATAACAGCAAGAATCATCTCCAGTCTCACTGCTTTATGATTCCCTACTGCACGCAGTATTTTTCTGTCTAGTTAAAGATCTTTTCTTTGCTCTCATTCAGCAGCGTTCGCTACACAAAGACAGGAGATGCCTACCAGCTTCCATCTTTGCTCTGGAATAGCGCTGATATCCACAGGATGACGCTCTATTACACTGAGGAAACGGGCCTCAGGGACAGCGATAGCACAGATTATATGGATCCACCTGAAAGGAGCAAAAACCAGGGAGAATTCTGAGTCTACCATTATTTGGATTACTTCTTTAAATCTACAGTATATTTACGGAACACTCAAAAGGACAGTTAACATTTCTACGACTCCCTCATCCACAATATCAAAATATATTTATAGGGCTTGGCAGCCCTGGCAACATTACAGATTGTTAATCATGGTTGCATGAGATAAAGGCCTCTAGAACAATAGGGATCATCTTCCTTTCTTATACATCTGAATGATGCTAAACGTCCTCTGAAAAGTCTTTTCTCTGAGAATCAACTGAATTTAACAGTGCTCAGAACCCTGGTGGTTCTGCTGCTGGGTTTGGAGCTGCTGGAGGTTACCTTGCCAGTTTAGTGAGCGGCGGTTACGGCCACAACTCCCAAACGAGATGTCACGCTGGGCATCAAAACCAAGCTCAACACTGGAACATTGGACACAGTATGGAAGCACAGAACATTTTAAAACACCACTTACCGCCCATCAGTGGTCATCTGAAGAGCTCCTCCCCTGAGATTGCACAGGCAACATTCCTGCAGGAACAAAACTGCTTCAGAGCTGCACTGAGAGGGGAACCAGGCGGCCCCCAGACTGCCTCCCCGTCCCCAAGCAGGGCCTGGGACCCCCAGACCAACCACCCCTCCTTTTGAAGCACCTCGGTGCCACCAAAGGCTTCCAGGTGTCCCCTGAGAGCAGCTACTCACCGCGGCCCACGCGCCGGCCGAGCACCGCGAGCACGACCAGCTTTCGTTCACCAAACCGGGACGTATTCCGTAACAGCCTGAAAGACAGCGAGTTATTCCCTTTGGAGCTTTGCTAGCACATGTGTAAATGCTGACTTGTTGGCTGTTCAGTTTGGAAGCATCTTTGAAATCAGATGGAGTATTTGAATAACTATATTTAACAGTATATGCTCAAAAGTCATAGGAAAGACACCCTCAACGGGAGCAATTTAGGACTGACAGGTCCCAAATTCCCCTCCATGTTTATTCTCTGCACCACCAAAATAGGAATGTGGTATTATGCTCATTATAAAGATTAGAAGAATAAGACAAAAAGCCTTTATAATTCTTTAGGAGACAACAAGGTTTGCAGTGAAGACAACGGGCAGAAGGCATATAAATACTTTGGAAAAGCTGGATCTATGCCATGTCCCCAAGCTTGCAATAACGCCAATACAGCAACAGAAAATTAAAGCTGGGGATCACAAACTGCTGGCAGCAGCCTAGCTAACACAAAGTTCATGCCACGGCCTTAACCCACCCTAGCAGAACCAAATGGGACATTTCAGCTGGAGAGGAAATTACTTAACACTCAAATGACTGAACTGAACTGAAAAGAAGATATTTGGGAAACACTGAGGCTGCCATGATATCCTGACTTACAAAAGTCAGCCAGTTAGCAGATAAACATTATGTGAAAAAAAAGTCAATATTATAGATCCATAGCTGTCTTCTGTACTGGAAGTCTCTTTTTATCATTCAACCCCAAACCTAGAAGAAGGATAGAGTCATTAAGTCTAAAAAAATCTGATTTGCAAACTGAGCTGGAACAGAAATGAACACCCTTAATTAAAATGCTGCTGGAGCCCAAAGCTGTGTGGAACAGGTTGAAATTTCAGCACTGGTTTCTTGCCTCAAGTCCCAGCAAGGCGGATGTGGGATATGCGAGGAGAAGCAGTGAGGTTTACTGAGCTCCAGATTCTCCTCAGCCAAAGATACTAAAGAATCAAGCAAAATACTCTATTTTATAGGTTTTGTCAGTGCTTGAAAAGCCTAGAACCCTTTGCAGAAGACACCTTCTCTGTAGGCACTCGCTGTTGCCACAAGCTGTCACAGCTGGGGGGGAGCACTTCAAAATGAAGTTTTAACACCCAGACTGCCAAGAGCTCTTATTGCTGCCAGGTTAGTCCAAAATCCCCAAACTTCCACCCTAGAGAAAGGCGACGGATTGCAATGCACCAAGATATTGAAGGCATAGATGTAGGATAGATATAGATGTCCTCTGCACGACACATTCCTACTAGCCCAAAACAACCATATTTCACAGATACAGGCCAGATATGGACCTTGGATTCTAGTTGTGCACAAGGGGCAGCTCGCGCCGGGCTGCACGGTGACCTGTGGGCTCTACAATTGCAACAACAGAAGTAATTCCAGCTGATGCAAGTCAAATAAGACTTCCCATCTGTCAAGATCAAACAGCTGAACAGTAATTTGTCACATCTCCTAGTGCAAGTGCAAATGCTAACTAGATGTCATAGAATCTACAATGAAGGTACCGTCCATCAGGATTAATCAGGTCTTATTTTAGACGTAACCATCAGAGAAACAAACAGACATATGTTCCTTTTTTGTAATCAAGTGCTGTTCCTACAAGCAGCAGCACAGACACTAACAGAACATATCTCAGAAACTACTCCATAATCTCTGGTGCACAAAATACAACCTTACCCAATGGGCCAATAGCTGAACAAATGAAAAGAGTGCAATCAGCCCGGCAACTTCTGCTTTATTACAAAAATAAAAGGCAACATATATCCCACGGGAACAGGCTCTTCGTACTGACAGAGCTCCAGAACTGAAGGAGGGTGAACCAAGGTGCCTGTCGCAAACAAGATTTGCTCCAACTTGTCTGCTTTGGATATTCTTCAGTTTTAAAGGAGCACTAATACAAAGAGCAAGAGCAAAACTAGTTTGGAGGAACTGCACATGATTCCACGAGCACGGAATCCCTAACGCAAAAAAATACCCCCCTTTCACTCTGTCCCCACTGTAGCTCACCTCGCATTGCTTAGTCTAAAAAGTTTTTGAAGCATTTACTTAGTACCAAAAAAAAATTCCGCTTTTCTAATTTTCCCTAAACTTGGAATAAAATCTACTGAAATTCAAATGTCTGCAAAATCTACTGAAATTCAAATGTCTGCAAAATATTTTGCTCAACTTTTTTGTTTTTGTAAACTAGCTATACACCTAAAACTTCCACTCAGCTGTAAGCTAGACTCAAATTACCTTACCCCACAAGGGATCTAAAACATCTCCTCCTTGTTGCCCAAGAAAGTTTATCTGGACAACACAGGATTTGTGTTGGCACTGAAAAAAAGTTCCTTTCCCTCAAAAATTTTCCAGAACCGGATTACCAATCCATTTATGCAGAACTCTCTGAAAAGGCCAGTGTGTGACAGAGGTGTTAGAGAGAAGTGGCCAATAATTAATGAACTCTTCTCTAATAGACACTGTCTCACCAGGAGCCCAGCCTAGGGATGGAAATATTTTACAGGCTGATCAGCTGCAGGTTAAAAAGCCTGGGTTTGTTAACAGGGAATATTCACAAGCAAGTTTGGAAGTGGAGGCCACTTATTGCATTAACCGTATCTCTTTTTCCTTCTTTGGCTGTTTCCCTTGGGCTGGTTTTAATCAGAGCCATGCGTGATCTTCATGCCCACGTAAGATGAGGATTTCTCCCTAGTGCTCCTCCATCTAGAGATGCAAGGCTGTATTAACCTAGTTTCCTCATGCTCTAAGCCCACCAGCAGAGCGTAAAGAGAAAACCTATATATTTCCTATGACATGCAGAAAAATGCTAGCCAGCCACACAAACAGCAGAAAGAATATTTGTATTTATCACAGTTACTACAGAGATGCACAAGAGGATGCACAAGAAAAGCCAAAGGGGAGTCAGAGGAATAGCAAGCACACCCAGAAGCAATTTGGATGTAGGTAACACGGACACAAGGAAACTCGGGAGCTCTCTTGGAACACGCGAGCGTGTCGGTGAAGAAGGGAACACTCACTAGCATGAACCTGCAGGCAGCATTTGGCACAGGATATCAAGAGGCTGGTTCCATCTTCTCCAATATACGAATTGGAAGGAAGGGGCTCTGTGTTTTCTCCGCTGGAGGTAAAGCACATCTCTGGGATCAGAGGCTTGGTCTTCTGGCCACACTTGGAAAGGTGCAGGAAGGAGGGGGCCTCTCCTCCAGAGACCTGGGCAGCTTCTTTATCCATCTGTAAGGACTGAGAGAGAAAACAGCATCATATGGCATCTTTCTCCTTCCCAAACACAGCTCATTTTAGCCTCGGAGAGCATCCCTTGCCAAAGAAAAGAAGAAAACTCATCCTTTCATCCGACACCTGACACCACGCAGCACACAGCCAACCTGAACTCCTCCAGATTCCCACACAGCCTCCCCGCTGCCTTTTGCTCCTCTCTCTTCCTTAGGCACGGACTGGGATCTGTAATTTAATTTGAAAGCTCAAAGAAGTGTCGGAATAATGAAAAGCATTCCCTGTTTTTCTTCTGTAGAAGCATAAACTTTTAGGGATCAAATCCCCAAACTGCAGCTGAAAACACTATGTGGAAAAAAATAAAGGAAAATATTAATAATGGCAAGATCTCCCCTCCCCCTCTCCCATCCTTTTGGCATCCGTCCCTGTTCCTGCTGCAAGAATTTCTCCAGAAGGACATTTCAAGGTTTCTGGTAGCAAATCAGTGTTAAAAACAATGAATTAAGACAGCCCAGCTGTATCCAGTTTTCCTTAGAATCATTATACAACGACATCCAGCAATCCTGCACTGACATTTTATTTCTGATTTGTATAATAAATCAAGAGGTTTTGTTGGAAGGTACGGTGGCAGTTCTGCTTTTCTCAGAAAAATCTTCAAAGACATATATAAATATATATACACACACACACATTCACACACACACACGTTAACACGTGCATTCCTGGTAGATATACAGAGGCACATTTGATTGTATGAGCATACAAGGATAAATCAATAATCAATTTGGCAAATAGCTAACTCACCTGATAAATTTGCCTTTCTGCTCCTGACATATGGATAATTTCCCCCAAATATGTATACGCTTCCTGAGTAAACTTTTGGTGTGTTGCTTGTTTGCAAATATTCCGAAGCCCCTGCACGTAACTGAGCAGCAGTGACGGTGTGCCCAGCATGGCACTGCTGCTGTGTTTGTGCAGCGTTTGCAGGGCAAAGCTCGGCGTGTGATTTAAAAAATGAAAACTCAGCGCCAGGAAAGATAAGAGGAAAGGCTCTACGCACTGCTGCCAGATCCAAACACATCTTTGTGTTTGGCACAAACGTCTAAAAGTCTTCTCATTTTCTTATAGAAGTCTGTGCCCCGACTTACGCAGCAGCCAGGGGTTCGGGAGTCACCACGGATCCGTGCGGCGGAGTCGGGAATTACCTGGTTGTAGGGGTAGAAGAGGGTACACACAGCACAGTAGGGCTCGCTCAGCGCAGCGGCCGCGTTGAATTTTCTCTCAGCTGGGAAATTATGTGCTTTATTCTTCCACTGGAGGGAAAGTAAAGATTTCAAAGCCTCTGGGTCACTCACGTCTTCTTCCCCAGAAAATGGAAATGTTTCTAGAAAAAAGGAAAAACGGCAAGTCCTTAATATAGGCAAAATGCAGCAAGGTGAGGGAAAACTGCTTATGTTTCAGTAATACGAGGATCTGAGTAAGTAAGGACATGAAACTCCTCAATAGTTCTCCATATCCATGTCTTAAACACTTCATTAAAACAACCACAAGCTCCACTGCGTGGGGAGGGCAGCAAGGTGGTCACCGATGCCCTGATAAAACCGGCCGAGAGGAGAAGGAACAAAATCTCCATGTGCAGGTTTCCTAGCTCTGACCACCTCCAGCATCCTTTGAATGAAGCCGAGTTCAAAATGCAAATAAAAGTGTAAGGAGAGGCAAATAAAAGTGTAAGGAGATGCCACGTCCCCTCCTCCTACCAGGAGCCAGGCCTGCAATTTGGGGCAGTCTGTTCAGTCTAACCAGCTTCTGGCAGCCTTCATCCTCCTTCATCCTCCACGAAGCTCACCCCTTACCCATTCCTACAAACAGGAATCCTGGCCATGACACAAGGACAGCCCAAATTCTCATTTTAGTTTTCTGCAGCTGCTTCCCTAAGCCTTCAATTTACATTCAGCACCACCTTTTTCTTCCACCGGAGCCTCGGTAGGTACCGCTTGTGCTAATTAGTTTACTAAGTCTTTGTTTTTACAAAACCTTTAAAAGGCCCTTGGTATTTTACGATTAAACCACCACAGACTCTATTCATGTCAGTTTGGGGGTCCAAGTTTCTTACCATTCATTATTAATGAGTTTTTGAGTCACTACAAGTGTTCAAGGAATTTTCCATGCAAGACTGAGTGCAAATTGCTCACTGCGCTGTGGATCTGCAAAGAGCCCAGAAGAGCAGCTTTGGTCCAGGGAACTCAAAAATATCTTAGTGGAACGTTATCCCCAGAGCCCAGCACATTAAACCAAATTGTGCTTCACTGTTAATTACTGGAAATACACGGTTAATGTTTTGCTCTCGACAAACCTAAGTTTCCTCTCCATTCTTACCTCCCTTTTAAGATTTTCAGGCTCTGTGCTACGGGAAAAGGATAAAAGGAACTTGTAAGCTTAGCCCTAAGTGTTTTATTACATCTGAGATATAATGTTTCCCCCAACGAATTTGCGACATATATTTGTTAGACAACATGGGAAATTTTACTGTGTTTAATTAATCAGTGCTTTTTGGAAATTATGAACAGCCTGTGTTCCTTTGTCACACTCAAAATGAGGTTTACTTCCTAATACGTGTCTTCACTTTCTTCCTATGTTTTCCTTTTATCTTGGACTAAAAACTGGCACCCACGGGCTAATGAGATCTGCGTTTCCACAGCCTTCTCCTCACTGCTGCCAAGGATTCCAGTGGAAAAGGAGACAAACGGAGCGAGCCTTGGCTGCGGATCAGAGGGAAGTTGTCCTTTGTGGGAGGAAACGACGCTCACAACGGGAGCTGCAGGGATCAGTATCAGAGAGGGCTCGTGGCACAGAACAGGTTTGTGGGAGTGCTCTGCACTGCTACAACACACCTTGCACCCTGTGTGGGGTGCAGCCAACACTAAAAGGACGAGCTTGGGCACGTGCATCGATGCTTTCAAGAGGTCTGGCTTCCAAGAGCAGCTTCCTGTTCACCTTTTCAAGAAATCTAGCACCTTCGAGGACATCGAGACACAGGCCAAAAAGCACACTACTTATTTCTCCCAAATTTAGCCAAAGTACACCTGGAGAAAGGATCGTTCTGCACCTACCAAATAATTTGCTTCAGAGGAAGGAGAGTGGGAGGTGAGGAAGGGCACCTCCCATAGATGCACTTGCTTCCAGTTGCATTTTCACAAGAGGAACACGCTGCATTTTTATCAGTTGAGTGGAACACTAAAAGTTTCAGCCCATCCAATTATGTTAATAGTCACCTTTAGCAATTTTTCAGATTAGACAGGGCACATACTCAGTCTTTATGTCTAAGGGCACTCACCCTCGTCACTCGAGGTCTCCTGTTTAACCACAGACAGTGGGGAGCGAGTTGGTGGTTTGCCCAGGGGATGACGGCGACTTTTCTTGATCTCCATCTTCATTTTTGAAAAAGCAGCAGTCTGAAACGGAGCAGAACAAGTTAGGTGGGAAGCCCCGAAGTCTCTTGGCAAGCACAGGAGAGAACAGGGCATCAGAGGCCAAATCCTTCTCATTAAGAGGTCTTCAATTTACACAATGAACTTTTCCCTGCCTTTTGCTGGAATCAATAAAGCCTTCCCAGCCAATTAGTGTAGTAGATAAAGCCAATGCTATCTCATAAGATGCCAGGTAAACTACAGTACTTTCTTAAAATCAGAACGGCCTCAGAACAGTTTCATGTCTGCCAATTCTGTCTGTTTACGCCTGGTCGATCGGATAAACATGGAGAAATTCCAGCACGGAAGTTACGAGCAGTAAAACCAAACCCATGAGACTCAAGTATTAGTGTGCACCTTCTGCAGCCATTATATCTTAGAAATATTTATGGCAAAGGTACTCTAACTGCGTCATGCTGGTGTGACAACACACATTTTCCCCTCTGTTCCCCATAATTTCTAACAGGGCCTTGCCACTCTTTTGGCTCTTTGAGCAGAGCCATGCAGAAAAGCAGAGCTGTATCACATAGCTCTGCCATACTGCTAATTCCGGAACATCCTCCTCCTTCTTTTGGAGTCTGTCCCCAGGAAAGCACTCCCTTAAGAGATACCTGCCACTGATTATAGTTCATGGGCTGAATTGTCCGTGAAAAGGTTGCTCCTCCCAACTTTTCCAATCCTAAGTCTCGTTAAGGAAATGCAGTGGACCGTGCTGGGAGAGAGCAGAGTTTTTCCCTGTAAAGCCCTCGATGGTTCAACGCAGCCCCGCGAGGGGCCCTGGCACAGCTCAGCACTCCTGCTCCTCCCCGGTTTGGTGCTCAGCCGGCTGCTCCAAACCATAGAGCTCCCGGTTGTTCCCTTGCTCATGCACACCTGTAAATCAGCGGCAGCTGGAGCAACCTCGGCGCTTTCCGCCTCCGCGCTCTCCTCCTCCTTCACAGGGATCTCCGCGGGGACCGTCTGATCCCGCCAGCCAGGGCTCTTCTGCGTGGCGAACTGCTCGAACGCCTGCTGGCAGGACATGCGCTCCTTGTCGAACACCACCTTCTTGGTGCGGGGAACCACGTACAGCATGGGGATGATGGGCCGAGGCTTGAACTCCTCTTCCTCGGCCGATGCCTCCGAGGGCTGGATGACGTTCAGGGGAGCTGGGGGCAAGTTCTTCTCTGCTGCGGACGACGCGGGCGCTGCTGGCGGGATCGGTGGCCGGGC